TAGAGGGAACACTGCTTGGAATGGAAGTCATACGAGGAGAGTCTGAAGGAGCTAGGCATGCTCAGCTGGTGGAAAAGGTGTCTATGAAGGGACACGATAGCAATCTTCAGATACATGAAGGGCTGCCATAAAGAAGACGGAAACCACCTTTTTTCTCTTGCTGCAGAGAGGAAGATGCAGCAAAGTACATTTAGAATGGATATCCAGAAAAGTCTCTTCGCTTTCAGAATAGAGAGGCAGTGGACTAGACTGCCTATAGATGTTGTAGACTGCATCACTGCAGGTGTTCAAGATGAGGCTGGACAGCCACTGACCAGGGAATAATCGAGGTATGGCTATGCCTAACTTTCTACTAAGGGTATTTCCAATACTTCCAGGCTTTACTAATTGCTCCCCTCCCCGACCCATTTTTCTGCTGTGTGGGTCAGGGTGTTTTTAATACAGGTGCACCGATATATCGGTCCATATCAGATCAGCACTGATCAAAGGAAAATTGACATTATCGGCAATCAGCTTTTTTTTGGCTGGTGTAGGCAATTATGCCACTGATAAATGCTATGTGCATGTGTGCAGCTGCCACGCATATAGCCAGAAATACAGCCCAGAAACTTGGAGAGCAGCGTCCAGCTGCTAAGTTGGGGTGGGGGGGGGAGGAGAAGCAGATCGAGACCCTCATGGTGAGGGAAGGAGTGGGGCAGGGCTGTCCAGCCAGGCCAGGGTGTGGGATGGAGCAGGGGGTGGCTTGTCTAGAGCAGTGGGCTCCAAACTTTCTTGATTGCGCACCCCTATCAGCAAAACATTTTTGAGCACGCACCCCTAATATATGTATATTTATTTATAAATTATATACATGTACTACTGTACTATTATATTATGTACATTATAAAACATATACAAAAAATAGAAATTAAAAAAGGATGAGATAAAGATGAACTAATATTTTTAAAATATGTATTTTTTAATTTTATTTCTTAGCAGCACAAAAACCTTTTTGTTCTTACTTTAGTGAGAGCAATGTGATTGAATATGCTTCACTATTATTGAAAATCTTGGTTTAACACTTTGTGATACAGTGATTTGAAAGTCTGGTTCTAAGTTTAGTTTATTTCGATACTTGGTTTTAATGGCTGTCATAGCTGAAAAAGATACCTCACAAAGATACACAGATCCAAATGGAAGAAGTGCATTGTTGGCTGCGCTTACTAAATCATGATACTCATTTTTTAATCCCATCCACCAATTATGCAAAGGTTTTTGTTGAATTTTTGCTAGTAAACTTCCATCTTCCCTGATGTCAATCAGTTGTCCTTGCAAACTAATCAGAAGGTGCTGCATTTTTATATTTTTAACAAATGGGTTCAAAGCCCACTGAAACTCTTCATTTGGAGGATTTTTAAACAGGTTAGAAAATTCTGTTTCCAATTTTTTAAGTGTGCAGTATGAGAGTTTTTATAGGTGACACACTTACATTGTTTTTGGCAACAAAATCACATAACGATGGAAACATTTCCAAACATCCGTTTTCAAAATGCTCCCTCCATAGCATGAGTTTTTTTCGAAAAGCAGTTACTTTCTCACTCACTGTTAAAACGTCACCTTTACCTTGAAGGGACAGATTAAGTGTGTTTATTTTTTTGAAAATATCTGCTAGGTAGCATACTACTGACAGCCACTTGTCATCACAGAAAAGGTCAGCAAATTTGGAACACTTGTCTTTTTGTAAAAGAAAAATGCGTAACTCATCTTTAAATTCGACAACTCTTTTAAGCACTTTGCCACGAAATAACCAGCGAACCTCTGTGTGGTACAAAAGATTTTCATGGTCACTCCCCATCTCATTACAAAGTTTTGTAAAGATTCTACTATTTAAAAGTCTTGTTTTTATAAAATTAACCACATCGATGACATCCCGTAGCACATTGGGCATTTCTGGCTCCAACTTCTTTGCTGCAATAGCTTGCCTATGAATGATGCAGTGAATGAATTTCACGTGTGGTGCTCTCTCTGTAACTGTACCCCGGAATCCCTTTTTTTATTCTAGTCAAAGCAGCCGCTCCATCAGTGGTTACACTTGCACAGTTTTTCCATAAAACGTTGTTTTTATTAAAGAAGTCATTTACTGTGGAGAATATATCTTCTCCAGTACATTTTTCCTTTAGTGGCTCACAAAAAAGTAGTTCTTCACGTATTTCGTTATTGAAATAGAATCTAGCAAATATCATAAGCTGAGACATGTTAGAAACATCTGTACTTTCATCCAACTGCATAGCAAACCTCTCACACTGCGTAATTTGTTCTAGTACTTGTTTCTTCAAATCTTCAGCAATGTTTTCTATGAGTCTTCCAACAGTATTTGCTGACAAAGGAATGCATTTTAGTTTGTCGCCATATTGTTTTCCGTGTATTATTTCAGCCATTTTTACCGCGGCAGGAAGAACAACTGTTTCCCCAATGGTATGTGGCTTTTTGTCTTTCGCTATTAAGTAAGAAACCTCAAAAGAGGCTTCTAAACATTTATCATTAAGTTTAGTGAAATTTTGTAAAGTACTGGATTGAGTACCACATGACTTTAAACATCGCTGAAAAAATTGTAGAGGTTTGTCTTCATGTTCTGGATGCTTAGTTTTTAAATGTCTTGCTAATTGTGATGGCTTCATACTATCATTAGCTAATATCTCAAGGCACAATATACACTTAGGGCGAGGTTCATCGTTAATGATAGTGGATGTAAATCTGTATTTCAAATAGTCTTCTTGATAATTTCAAATCTTTTTGGCCGACTTCTTGTCAGTTCCGATTAGATCGTCATTGTTTTTACCTCATAATGTGGTTGACAAAGAGCTTGTACTAGGAGCAAGAGAAGTGTCAGCTCTGCCATTTTCTTGTTGTTTGCTTCTGCTCGCATTACTAGTATTATCTTCAATCCACAGTTTCTTTGCAGGAATCTTTTTAAGCCACTTGTCCATTTTGTGAGGGTTAGTTTAAAACTAGACAATATAATCTGTAAATCCACTTAACTGGGCACACACAAACTGCAATACGTCGCAATATGCTGAAAGCGAACGAACAAGTGAGGGCACCACTGTCAACCCCTCCACGTTGTGGAACTCTCACTCTTCCCTCAGGATACCTTGCATACCGTACGTGACACGTGACCGTCTGACATACGGACCGAGTGAGGGCACCAGTGTCAATCCGTATATTAAATATTAGT